AAAAATCACACATGCCCCACAGTATTTAGTAGATGTCACCATACCCCTTGCTGTCCTAATTGCTTAATTCTGAAATATCTTTCTAGCTTTGAAACTAGTTATTAACTGCTTCACCACACTGGGTGCATTCAGATGGGGCATTTGCAACGGTATAGGTGCCAGTTGGAATCGGTGTACTTACCGGCATTCACACGGCGAACATCTGCCTTCCGTCCCTAACCATCGCAAAGAGCTTTAAACCGTTGTATTCTGCCACTAGATCCCCAAGTGGTGGTATCCTGAGTGCAATGGTTGTAATCGCTTTACCACCACCACCCCCGTCTGATCACTCTCCACCGTTGTAGAGCCACTTTCGTTCGGCAGCCCGAGGCTTCCGATTTTCGCCCACCTTTTTTTTTAATGATATGCGCTTGGGCGAAGCTTCGCCCCAGCGTTTGTTTTTTTAAAAAAAGAAAAGGTCCTTAGTTTAAGGTTTTAGAGGAGTCCGGGACCTCAGGGAGGCCAGTTTACTCTTTAAACTTTAAAGGTAAGTCCTCTCTTCAGGACATGCTTTTCGGGACGGGGTGTTTTACGCATGCACGAAGATTGCCATTCTGTGGATGGCTGCCTATGTGCATGCTCAAACTGAGTTAAAAAACAACAACAACAAACCGCCGACGCCCACTGTGTGTGAACGGGCATACAGCGATGGGCTCCGCAGACAGGAGGTGTGATCGCGTTTCAGCCGCAATAAACTGCAACGTTTGGAACCGGTGCAGTTTATGCCGGCTGAAACGCCCCGTCTGAATGCACCCTCTGTGTGCTAGCCTCAGAGGAACAATATTACAACAAGGAAGACCCACCACCAATGTGCTCATATAGGGTAGCAGATGCTGCAGCTCTCATGGGTTGAGGAAGGCTGGTGCAGCTTTCTTGGCCTGTTGTCCATGGAAAAACAAGAGGTGGAGCTAAAGGAAGGGTAAGAATGATAGTTGGATGAGGGTTACTGCTTTCTGGTTGA